AATTTGTCCAACTTGAAAGTTACTCAAAATGGGGTTATTTACTCAACAAAGCATCAAGGATTCATTGATATGGATTTGAATGAGAGTTGGTTGAAGAAATTTTCACAACAAGAGATTTAAAGGCTTTAAATGATAAAAAATTCAAATCAATTCATGTTGACTCAAAATATTGCAAGCTTGTGCATATTTTGAGTGCATTTGATGTTTTAAACACTTTGGAATAATTGGAATTACAAGATGAGTCTTATTTCATGGCCAATTTTCATGTTACTTCAAGAATAAGTAACACTACAAACATCCACCATTGATTAAGTTTCAAGGGATTTATCACAGCATTGGATCATACTCCCTATCAGCTTCACGAATGAAGCATTTTCAAGAAGTCTTGAAGCCATTTTCGTGCATTAACATGGATGAAAAAGTGAAGAAAAGTGAGAAATTGAATTGGACTCTATGGGTTGTGATTGGGCCTGAACATGATCCAAACAGTTTCTATATAACATTTCCATCGTTTTCAGATGAAGGTTGGTGAATTTTGGTGCAAGAAATGGCTAGAGCAGTTGGAGAAAAAGTTAGTTGGAGTTGAAGATCGTTTTTGAGATTCAAGCACTTTCAAGCAGAATCAAGCATCAAGTAAGCTTCACCATCAATCATTGAGTGATTCTGGATCGATTTGAGCAAGCTTCATCACCAAATCGTGCCTCTGTTCAGAGCTTTTAACAGGTTTCTTTCTTCCCAAAATTCTCTTTAATTATGAGTAATTAGAGTAGATTATGCATGTGTTTAGGATCAGTGAACCTCCTATATGGATTTAGGTTAAGATTCGTGGCTGTTTGAGAGGATTTTTGTGGATGCACCATTTCTGTTTGGCCTCGAGTAGGCTTGAATAATGAGTGAAAATGTGTTTTAATCTTGGATTCGTGATGTAGATGATGTAAGGATTTGATTGATATCAGAGATTTGAGATTTGGTGAAGTTTTCGTGATGAGCTACTGTTCCCCTCACCGGAGAAGACGACCAAAGTCTTCTCCGGCCACCACTGCAAGTTTCCCTCCATCTCAGGTTTGAATTGAGGAAGATGATCCTCTGACCGTTAGATCTGGCTGACTGTGTGGACTTGGTACACTGATCCAACGTGTGAGGTTTGATCTTATTAGGTTGACTAGGGTTTTGCGTGCGTGGCTGTGTGTAGTGCGTAGGATCTGCATACTAATTGAATGAACGCGCTAGATTAAGACCTACGGTGGTCTTGTTTGACTTTGCTGCATGTGATCATCAGGTTTTGCTTTATTTTTGTCTTATATATCATTTGGACTTGGGCTTGCGTGCTTTCGACACCCCCCTTCTGGGCCCAACCTTGTTTTAAACTGATTTTCATTGCTACTTGCACCATTCCTTTTTTATTTTAATTTCTTTTTTTGATTTTAATTTTGCTTTATTTCTGTTTCAATTTAAATCATATAAAATAGCTCCAATGTTCCTAAAACCCCCAAAAATATTTTCTATGAAATTTGAGATGTCCTTTATTTTAAAGATATTTTTATTTTATTTTTTGATTTTATTTTCAATTTAAAAAGAAATTAAATATTGGAGTTGTTTTAAATGAATTAAATTGTGACATTGTTTGTTCTTGCATTTGTTTCTCTCATTTCCTTTGGGTCCAATGAATGAAAATTGATCCTCATACACATGATGAGTTGAACAATTTTTGAGGACCATTTTGCCCCTGGTTGGTTGACTTTAGGGTTGACTTTTGGTGCTTTTCTTTTGACCCTCGATTCTCCCATTTCAAAGTGGTACATCTTGAATATTATTTTCTTTTGATGGTGCTTTGAGGGGATATTTGCTTTGAGCTTTTGGCCTCTGGTTGCCAACATGTTTAGCTTTCTTGTGCATTTTATTTGATCATTTTTGAACCATTTTTCTATTTTTGAGGTAACTTGCAAGTCAAGTTACCTCCAAGGGAGGTTCACACATGTACCTTGACCTAGTTTCACTTGGATATGACATTTTTGGATCCTTTGAATTCTCAATGCCTTTTGTTTCATGTTGCTAACATGTTAAGGATGATGTTGGTTCAATTTTAGGTCATGATATTGTTTCTTCCTTGTTCATTTGTGTGTTTCCTTTTAAGTTTTCAACTTGAACTTCTATGTGATGTTTGCTTGCACTCTTTGTGCCTTTTGCTTGCATTTCCTTTTGAATTGAATTGCTATTGCTTTTGAGCTTTCTTCTCTTCATCTCCCTTCTGTCCAATGACTATGGAACCTCATTTAAGGTATCTTAGTCCCTCCTGAGGAGGTACTTGAAGTATACCTAAAATGATGGATCCTTGAGGACTCTTTTGTGCTTCCTTTGCACTTGGTTTGTGATGCTCATGGTTGAGTACCTATTATGAGGCCCTTTCTGCCCTCATTTGGTCTCCCATCCTCACTTAGCTTTGGGTTTTGTTTTACCTTTCATTTGGTTTAGTTTTGTTGGCGTGGTTGATGTTGTTTGATTTAGGTCATTTCATCCCACTTTTGGTGCATCTTTGTGTGGGTTGTTCTTGTTTGGTTGATTTCTTCTTGTGAAATTCCTTTCTATTTTCTTTTCTTTCATTTTCATATGCATGTTTGGTTGAGATGAGCTTGTGGAGGCTACTGCCCCACACTATTTTCCTCCCACTTTCATTCTATTTGTGCATCTTATGTTTGCATCTTCATTTGCATATGCATTCTTCTTCTTCTTCTTCTTTTGTTTTTCATTGCCATGCTCCCCATAAGTTCTCTAACCTCTTGAGGTTATGATAGACATTAGGTGCCTAGCCATGCATGATAACATTAGGTAGTTCTCTTTCAAACTCAACTTTAAGTCCACTTTGCATGATAAGTTTTAGGATTGATTAGTCTCCCGTTAGTGTTCCCTTTTCTCTTCTCATCTTCAAACATTCCTAAAACACCTAATAAAGAATGACAAGTGTTGTACGCTACAAGCCTTAAGCTATTTGGGAAATGATGATTGGGTGATTGCCTCTCAATTGTCTAGAATGTTAGTATATGTCCTTTGGACGATATACGACGCATTCGCTCCTAAATCAGTCTTTAGTGCAACATGAGTTACAAACCAAGTTCAAAACACTTCTTCTCTAAAAAACACAAAAACACTTCAAACCTTTTTCATCCTTCGAGATTCTAATAAGGAAAATCTTTTCAGAAAAAGAGTGTCGTTAACTTTTAGTTCTACCGCAAACGGTAACGCCTAAGTCTCCAATGGTCGAGCTGCATACACCAACTGCTAGAACTACTGTTAACCCTACTCGGGCCTATAAACTTTTGAACCAACCTGTGGTCCTTTTAGCCCGAACTACGTTTGCTCTGATCTTTCATACCAGATGAAAGTACGTAGGCACAAGACGCGATGTCTTGGCGAGCAACCTTCCCCCTTCTTTACCCGTAGTTAGTCGAACTACGTTGACTCTGACTTTCCCATTGCACGAGGGAGTACGTAGGCACAGAGCGGCGTTGCTTTGCCGAGTCAGTCTTTTTCCTTTTCTTTTGTCCCTGAGCCTTTAGTTAGATAGTTTCAACACACCCTTTTAGATGGACAACAATGCGTGGACCCCGTCGAGTACGACGGACGTGAGGGGTGCTAATACCTTCCCCTTGCGTAACCGACTCCCGAATCCAGACATGGTTGCGATGACCTTGTCTTTCCCTTTTCCGTCAGGTTTTTCTGATCGTTTTCTTTCTCTCTCTTTGGGATAAATAACGAAAGTGACGACTCTTCTGTTTTTCCGCTGTGTGATGTTTATTTGATTTTGTAAAAATAACAAGACAGGTTTTTAAATCTTTGTTTAGACTCAATTGTCTTTGTTATCATTTCGATCGAAATTGAATTAGGTATCCCTATCCATTTCTTAATTCAAATTTTAAAAAAAAATCACATTCATATTTTAAAACAATAGGATGAGAAGTGGACAAATTTAAACGATGGACTGATTCATTTTATTTTTTCTTTTTTATAATAGATTGAGTCGGATCGAATTGATTTAGTTGCTTAATTTAGATAATATAATTTAAATAGTATAAGGTTGTTTCAGTCGAACTCTAATATTTATTTTGGACCCAACAAATATTAAAATCAATCAAACTTGTGTTTTATTTATTTTTATTATAATATGACCCTCACTGTAAAAATATAAAAATATTATATTGATGATATTATGTACTCTTAACATGCAAAAGTGTTATTTAATTTTATAAAATTTTAAATATGTAAAAATATTATATTGATGATATTATGTACTCTTAACATGCAAAAGTGTTATTTAATTTTATAAAATTTTAAATATTATTTAATTTATAATTTAAAATATAATATATTTTATTTATTTTTATTATAATATAACCGACTCACTGTAAAAATATTATATTGATGATATTATGTACTCTTAACATGCAGGTTTAAAATATAATAATAATTAAAATTAATATTAAATAATATTTAAAATATTATCCTGTAATAATTCTTTTTTATTAATAAAAAATGTTCTATTTTAAAATTTTAATATTTTTTATAATTGAATTTAAAAAATAATCATTTTTAAAAGTTATTCTAATAAATATTAAACACTGAACCCCTGTGGATCATCAAATAAAAGATACTAGTACATTTCAATGAGCATTTATTTTTCCAGTTTCTGACAAGTGCAGAATTTTCATAAAAACTTGTACCAACAATTTTAATGGTCCATATTATCCGAACTTCTATAAAAAAAAAAAACCAAGCATAATCAAACAAAGAAACCATGGTTAAAAATTAAAATACACCCATCACAAATCCAAAACAATGGATTTTGCTCAAAGATTTTAAACATAACACAACTTTATTTTATTATATAACTCCAAAAGGGTCTTTGACATTTAAGCAAAACACCTGAGTTCACATAAAAGATACGGGTACATAATCATAACTTATTATTATTATTACTCCTGCCACTAAACGGGGTAAAGAACACTTCATTTGCAGGTGCAAGGGTTGCAAGTGCAGTTTGCTCCACATTTGCAGCCATCATTCTCAGCTCCCATCTCAGCACTCTCAAATTGAGTCTTCTCAGATCCGACTCCCATGATCAGTGTCTCAGAGGTTGTTGCCTCTGTGTAGCTCAAATCAGCATACATCTTGCACCTGCATCAAAACCAAAATCAAATGTTTCAATCAATTAAAACAACATCAACTAAAAAATTTGTGATCTATGAAACCGACCTTGATACAGACACATAAATAATTAAAATAATAATAAATTAAATATTATTACGGACACTAATTACAAGTGTCAATCTTGTAACAATATCCAACACATATCGAGATAGTTTTTCAAAAATGTCAGTGCTAAAATTTCCAGAGCCAACTCTGGATTAAAAAACCCTAATACAAGGGAAACATAGAATAAAGAGATCACAATTTCCCAAAGAAAACAAATCACATAACCAAATCAAAGGCATGATGAATGAAGATCTCACCCTCCGCAGCCAGAGCCGCACTTGCAGCTACTACCGCAACCACAGTTTCCACCACAGCAAGACATTTTCAGAGGATGAAATTGATCAAACACAAAAACAAACCAGAAGAGATTATTTAAGACACAAACAACAACACAAGCTTCTGAATGAAAAGAAGCAGGGTTTGGACCCGATTTTATAGGGAAATTGTGAAATATCTACGGCCACGTGTCAAATCTTACGGTGGTTATAATCTAATCGCGGATCTATCACCACGTTCAGCGTCGTTTTCGTGAACACGTCTCTTAGGGGATTTGTGAGTGGTTTTTGTGCAGTGTTTAGAGGATGTACTTGCAGTTTTAAATTGTCCACCGTTTGATGCTATATTCTAATAATGATAGCAAAAATCTATGGATGAGATGCAATATTCAAAGTAATATTAAAATTGTTTGTATCAAACAAATATTTAAAAAAATTAATCAACAATATTCTAATTAATATTCTTTTTTTTTAATTTTAATTTTTAATAATATTTTTTAAAAAATTTTAATAGTTATTTTATAAATTTTAATTAGTATTAATTATAGTTTTGTTAAACTTATTTTTAATTATTTATTGTAAGAAGAGAACAAGTCAAATAAAATAGTAAATAATTAAAAATATTAAATAAAGAAGAAATTATTATTTTAATAATAAGAATTTTTATTTTAATAAATGTATTAAAAGTCAAAAAATGACAAAAGAAAAAGAGAGAGTATCATTAATTATTTTTAATTATTTATTGTAAGAAGGGAAATATCAAACAAAATATTAAATAGTTAAAATATTATAAATAAAGAATAAATAATCATTTCAAAAATAAAAAATTTAATAATTTCTTAAAAGATGTATTAAAAAGTCAAAAAATGACAGAGAGAAAGAGGAATTTTTTTTAGAATAACCAAGTATTAATAATAATTTATCATATAAATGCAACATTCAAAAAATTGTCCAAATTAACCACAATTCAGCGCTCAGTCGCCAAGTGAAATGGCAACATAGTGTTGCTGGAAATGGGCCTCTAGTGGAGTCGCCAGACTGATTGGCGACACAGCCTAAACGAAATTGAGCCTCGTGTGAAATCGCCACACTATTTGACGACATAGGCTTAATGGACTGCAGCCCAAAAATTAGGATTTTTCATAATTTTTATTCATAAAGTTTTAATAATTAATTTTTTGTTTTTAATAATTTTTAAATGATAATAACATTAAGTTTGTTATTAAATTTATAAATATTTTAATTATGTATTAATAAATATTTGTTATTAAATTATGTTTTGTTTTTCATAATTAATTGAAATTTAAATAACATTAAAAAAATATAGAAATGTAAAAAATATTAAAAAATATTAATTTACAATATAATGAAAACTACAATTGAAGAAAAAAAAAACTAATGGCCGGCTCTATCCAAGCGACCACCGGTGCCACATTGCGGGGGATGCGCGTTGCGACGAGGTTTGCGACGAGGTTGTTGTGGTGTGTCTGGTCTTTGTGTGTTGAGTTGCGGAGAAGGGTTTTGTTGGGACGGCCTCGGCGTATCAGATAGATTTTGAAGCATTTGACCCCAATAGCCAGGAGGTCCACTATCAACGGCGCTTCTGTAGTTAAGCCCAATGCCCATGTTTTCGTAGGATTGTCGGGGAGGTTGGGTGGAGTATGGACGGTATGGTTGTCCGAATCCGTACATCAAATTGGGTTGAAAATGGTGTGTTGGTTGTTGTGGGGTGTGGTAGTCAAACAGTGGATAGTTGGAAGGGGTAGGGTCAAATGAGTTGTCTGGGCTATAGGTGGAGGGGGTAGGCTCAAAAGACGTATCAGGGCTATAATGGTATGGTGGTTGATACTGGGACTGGGTGGGTGGCATGTACGGGTCATGGTTGTCATGTTGTTGTTGATGGGGGGCATTTGGTGGTGTAACACCCTTCTAAACCCCACGGAAAACAAACATAATCAGAGTAAAATTAACATGCATTCACAAAGGGTGTCACACATATATATCCAAATTACTTAAAAACCACATGTCATGCTCAATAACATTGAAATAAATAGTCATACTTTACAAAAGTTCATTTGCATGTAACAACAGATTTATTTACATCTCAATTTTTCATAAAAGAAATATTTGCTTTTATCACATAAATCACACCACTTAGGCTCTGAGGCCAACATCACAAAATACATCAGAAACATAACCCAAACGATCCCAGTGTTACATGACCAGAGCACGACTCGACCCAATAAAATTAAATCACTAAACAGCTACACCAAAAGCGACCTCGCAACTACGAGCAGTACTACGCCTTGATACCTGCACGATGTCATGAAGGACATCATTCGAGCAGAAGGGTGAGAAATATTATCATAATAACAATGCATATAATCATGAATAAATGCATAAACACATAATACATATATTCCACATTTTCTCACCACAATACATTTTAAACGTCTTATATGTCACAACATACGTTTTACTAATTAAACACATTCATCAATTCATAAACACACATAATATGTTCATTCTACCAATTCACACCAACATCTATATTCATGTTTATTTCACCAATGCATCATATAAAGATGATAATGCAACCCATAGAGACCGACTCATGACTCTATGCAGATGCAAATGCGGTACCGACTCATTCAGCAGGTTCAATTGAAGAACCAAAAGGAACCATCGCTCGTTACCGAAGTAACTCCCCGTCGGGCCTACGATGTTCACCCATTGCTCACACCCCACATGGGCACACGATGTTACAGGATTGCTCACACCCCACAAGGGCACACAATCGTTCTGCAGTTTCTCCACGGAATCAAGAATAAACCATCGCTCACACCCCACAAGGGCACACGAGGTTTCTGCAGATCCTCCACGGGATCAAGAATAAACCATTTCTCACACCCCATAAGGGCACACAAGGTTTCTGCAGATCCTCCACAGGATCAAGAATAAACCATCGCTCACACCCCACAAGGGCATACGAGGTTTCTGCAGATCCTCCACGGGATCAAGACACAAGAATGCAATCATGATGCTACACACGCACAATGACTCTACGCACTCTTGAAATGCACACATATACACACAAATATTAAATTACACATTACCCCACACCAGTACGTACAGTTATACACATAATTGTCAAACGGCCACACCTCACACTTTCATACAACAATCATATACCCATACCATATGACTCATATAAACTCGTCACTCTCGCAAATCCTCACGAGGATTACGGGTACATCGCTTATACCCCACCAGGAACAACTCCACAGTTATTCTACCCCGGTGATTACTACACTAGGAATGACACCTAGTCATTCTACCCCAGTGAGTAAGGATCTCGCATGTTTACATACTCTCAACATCATTAACCTGCACATAATTGTCATGCATACTTCACACATCATCACACTCATCATGCATTCATGTTTAATTCAAGCGATGTATATAATTGCCAAAAGGCTATACTCCACAATCTAGGATTCACGCCATAAGGCTACCCACAACACGTCTCATCAAAATAACACACAAACTATTCTCATTGCATAAGGATTAACATCATTGAACCAAGAAATTAACAATTGAATGGAACACACAAGAAAACAACATGTTGTCACACTCGCTACCATGTTCGCCTAGCGAGCTCCTAGCGAGTGCTCGCTACCTGTTCACCTAGCGAACAAGCTCGCGAAGGCAAACAGAAGCCACTGACTTGACTTGCTACCACACTCGCTTAGCGAAGGTCTAGCGAGTCGCTCGCTACCCCTTTCGCTACCAGCGAAGAGCACCACTCACCACTCTGCCCAAGTCTGGTACCGTTCGCTACTAGCTCGCCACAGCGGATGCCCATCGAATGCTCGCGACCCACTCGCCTAGAGAACGTGCTAGCGAGTGCCTGCGAACTCAGAATTTCCCCACTGTTCAAAACTCTGAAATCATCGAAATCCACCCGATTCAATCCCAACTCGTCTCGGTAGCCTTAGCCCAACATTCCTCGACTAAATCCTACCACTCATTCTCATTTCTAACCGTTCAAACTCGGTTTCTACCGATTAAACTCATTATGCCCTAGAATGGAAGATGAGGAAGAACAACCAAACAAATCCAAATAATCCATACATAATCACATACATTGGTAAGATAATGATACTTCCCACCCTTACCTCGATTAATCGGAAGCTAGAAGTCGTTCTTGAGCTTTCCAAGCTTTCCCTTCTTTTTCCTTCTACTTTCTCTTCTTCCTCCACTTTTCTTTCATGTTTTCTATTTTACATTTTCGTTCCGCTTCCCTTCATATATCCTTCCCTTCTGTTTCTCTCCAATTTATTTCTTCTCTCAAAATATTTACCAATTCATTTTCTCATAAAATATCCCATCTCATTCTTAATTAGAGAATATCTAGTAAGTCCACATTATTCTACCGAATAGAATAAATCAGTTAAATCCAATAATTCACTTAAATTACACAAACCAATTAATTAGTACCATTAATCAGTTATTGAAAATTAGGCTGTTACAACTCTCCCCCACTTTAGGAATTTTCATCCTCGAAAATGTTATCCAACTCGAATTATTCTGGATACGACTCTCGCGCATCTCAGTCTCCCAACTAATTCCGCCAACGGAATCCCTTCACCTCGAAGTTGCTCCTTGTTTACCCACCTGAACTTAGCAATGTCTCCATAATTGGGTTGCCTCTCGCACAATCTCAGGTCCGAGTATAGCAATTGTCGTAGATAAACTCAAGCAACGACGATTAACTATCCCACGATCCACTTTGATCCAATCACACAAGCTTTCCAACAAATCCTCTACATAATGGGTAATCCTCTTTGTCTGTCTATTTCTTCCACGAACGCTAGTCAGAGTTCAACAACCACGTGGCACCCAGAAGTACCTACAAACCTTCCCAAAATCTCAATGAAAAACTCAGATTCCCTTCTAACATAATAATTCATCCTTACTGGTAAGTAACGAGTTACTCTTGTTAATCCATTCGTAACCACCCAAATCGAATCACCTACCATCAAAT